AATTTTTATTTATTCCTCATAAAATAATTTCGTACAGATATCCTAAATGAAAACGTTTGAACATTTTTGAATCAATTATATTTCCTTGGAACGCTTAGCAAATACTTATACAATTATAATTAAACATTAAAATACATTTAATGGAATACTTAGAATTGTAATTTAAATCAAAGAAATACCAAAAGTAAATATTATATATAATATATATACTATATATACATTAGTATAATGTAATGAAGTAATTTAAATAATTTCTATGAATTTCTAATAATATTTTATAATATTTTTCGAGTTTTGTGTTTATATTTAATTCGTTATATTTCAGCATTGATTTTTATACATTAATATTATGTTTTTTTTTTTAAACATTTATTTGAATAACAAATTTTTGTAAATTTATTTTTCAGAGTTTATGATTAATACGATTTAATGAATTAATTATTAGTATTAGCTTAATTCTGCATTAGTCAATTGTAAAAGAGCTTCAGTTCAAAGTAATCTGACCCTGCTAAGAGAATTAATTAAATAAAATCCTGGAGGGTAGATTATTCTCAGTGGACGTTGAACGTCCATTATCAAAGGCCATCTCTTTTTGCCTCGCGGGTCACATGATTTTTGGACATGACGTTCCAAAGGGACGAAACAAATGTCTAGCTTAACTTACTCATTAATTATTTTATCGGACTTAAAGATATATATATCTCGTTTCCGTACTAATTAAAGAGCTTATAATATTCAAAGATAAAATACCTTTATAGTTATTTAGGAAATAACCATCCTTTTATTACCACTAAAAAAAACCATGCGAGTAATATGTAAATCCGAATAAAAATATTGATTTTTTATGAAGAGAAATACAATGTCTAAACATTTTAATTTAAATATAGTGAACATAATCAGTTAATATTCAATTTAAATCTAATATTTTAACGTAGTAAACGAAAATGCAGAATCGTGGTTTTAAAATAATAATTACAAGGACGTATGAGGAAATATTAATTTTGCTTGGACCAGAATCGAATATTATAACGCTATAGAGCTAAAAATATACTATAACTAATTAATAAACGTTAAAATACACCCCCCAGATGGTTCTCTCAACAATATGAACACAACGCAGTATTAGCTACCGTAAAACAGAAACAAATTCAAAACAAGAAAAACTTAAACCACTCGCCACTCTGTGGAAAATGTTTTGCATCGAGTAAAAATATTGATAGCGGCTCACAGGTAACAATCCTTGCAAACATATTATAAAGTAGTAAATGAATATAAGCAATTTATCTACGAGTTGTCTATGTGATAGTAGTAAACTATCAACTGTTTGTAATTCAAAACCACCCATTCCTTACCAGGTTTGTACTTAAAATAAATATAAGTATGACATCATTTAAACACTTCTTATGGTCAAATTTTAGAAATTAAACTATGTTTGATTTCAGAATTTAACTTTGCACCTATTGAATCGTATTTTTCATACACAAACATTTTAATTGACTATCTATTGCCATTAGGATCGTTGAAAAATTTTCAATTTTCAAAATTATTAGCCTCGTAAAAAAAAATTCCTAACGTAGGAAAATATTTTAATTTATGTAAAATAGAATCAATGTTAAATATTCCAAGACTATTAATCTGTGATAACGTCGTGTAATTTATTGTTGATTTCACTACATTTTGCTTTTACATTCTTTCATGTTTGTATTTTGTATTATACAACGGTCGTTGTTAGATTATTTTTATACACTCCTTGTACAGTTATTATTATTATAAGTAATTGAAAATGTTATCGGACGCTGACATAGCAGATCAGATGGATGAGATCCTTGCAAATCTAGAATCCGAAAATGAGTTAATGGACGAAATATACCTTGAATATGATGATAATGGTATGTACTCCTTATTGTTTTTATATGATGTGTATGCAAGTCATTTTACATATATTTACAAATATATAACTTGATATATTGAAAAATAAATATAAATACTATGTTATTATATCATAGATTTTGATATGAATGGTTTGGTGTCACCATCTTCACAGAACCACAACCAAATGTGCCTTCTTCTTATCAATCTCCAGAAACAGTTAGTCCAAGTGTTCAACGTGCAGAAAAAACAGTAAAAGAACAGATACTAGGTATCTGTCATATACTATGATATCTATCATACCAAAACAAATACTAATATAAACTAATATAACTAATATAAGTATCACTATGACTGTTTACTATATTATGTAAGATCATAATTTCTGTATATTTGTTACTTTATGATTAAATAAGAATGTTTCACTTATTTGAATAGTTGTTTTTATGTTTATAATATTCCTTTTTAGCAAACCGGTTAGTCTAACGATAAAAAACTTAATATAAAAAAATTTATCAAATATATATATATATATCATGTATTAAATTCAAGAAGTTTATCAAAATAAAAGGTATCATAAAAATAATAAATGATATAATTAAATGAAAATGTTATTAACCGTATCGTCGCTAATCGTTAGCGGATATTTGGGAACCAATGGATAACAAACTTTTAATTAATTCTAACTTTTAAAACTTTGGATAAAAATTTTTATTTTTTATTTCAATTGTCTTTTATTTATCATTTTCAATCAGAAACAAATATTAAAACGATAAAATTAAAATAAAAAATTAACTTAGTCCATCATCAGGGGACATCTTAGAATTAATTAATTCAGCGCTCAAAGGGTTAAGAAACCATCGGAAGTTGCGTGCTGTTCATTATGTAATTGCACCAATAAGTAAATTTAGTTATGAAAATGCTGAAGATTGTATTTATAATTGTTCAAGAAAACAAGGATCTTATCTTATAGAAGGTAAACTTTTAACAATAATATTGTAGGGTGGTCCATTTACGGTAAATATGAAAAAATAAATATATTCCTCAGGTTACACCCCCTAGATTAGTTCAGTTAGCTATAAAAATAAAATATTATAAGTTTCAAGACAATCAAAAAAAGTTAAGTCGTGCCACAAGAGCCCTAAACTTATTCATTTTTGATTTTCATATATTATTTTATATTTTAAATTCAGACCAATGTAATATTGATTTTATACAAAATTGCATCGAACAATATTTGTATAAAAAACTATTTTATACATTTTATATTCTTAAATATTTTTCATAAAATTTTTATTTTACATAAAAATAGCGTTTTTTAGGTAAAAATTTGTTTTTTTATTATTTTTTGAATAAAGAGTATTTCAATATCCAATTTAGATGTTATAATATAAAAATTGCTTTTAAGATCAATAGCAATTCAATTAAACATATAAACAATATAACTAAATACTTTACGAAATACCCCATTCTTTTGAGGAGACAAGAGTTCTAATTTATTTAACTATATAATGAATATAAAAATAAAAATATAGACACGAATAACAATAAAATTATAGTACTTATTAAATATATAAAATTAAAAATAATGAAAAATACGTTTTTATAATATATGTATATACTTTATAGTTATTAAATATATACAGAGAACTACACAATTCGATATTGTAATATAATAATTAAAAATAAAATGTTATAAGTAATATTAATTTTAAAGTAAAACAATTTTTTTTTTATTATTATTATGAAAATATAACATTTACGATCTGTGCGTCTTTTGCACAATAAGCAAATTTATAAGACAACATAAAACAAACATGATCACATGATAAGGGAAGCCATCCAGTGATAAGACCCTTTTTTTTAAAACAATTTGTAAAAATTATATTATTGATTTAAAATAATGTATGGCAAATGTTATATTTAACATAACTCTGTCCACAACTGTCAACATGTTAATTTTAGAAGTTTGTAAAAATGTACTCACTTTTCATATTGTATTTTCATTGGAAATATAAATTTAAATGTTTTTAGTTGAAAAATAATACCTAAACATTTAACTCTAACATCAGGTTGTTTGGTAGTCTATTAATTCTTCAATTGCTACTAAAAGTGACGTGTAGTTAACTTTTACTGCTCGTATAGCTTCTGAGCGGCATGCTCATCTAGTAGTAGATAAAGATTTCAATGTTTTGAGTTTAGAACTATTAGAATTGATTATTTGCTCAAAAGTATTATGTCTTGAACAGCTACCTTATATGAAATTCTACATTTACTGAATAGTTCCAAAAAAAAATAATCAAAAGCAACTCATGACCAAATATGACAAATAAATGACTAACAGAATCAACCAAAATTGGATTTAAACAGTGGCCATAACAGTGAATAAAAAATATATTTTTATTCTTTTCTTTAAACTTGGCTTGAACACCTATGGTACTACCTACTATTATTGCAGCTCCGTCAAAATAAGTTGAAACAATATTTTTCTATTTAATATAATATTCTTCAATAACATCACTTAATGTATTGAAAATACTTTGGGCATTAACTGATTTTATTATTTTCATCGATAAAAACTATTTTACAGCACAACACTTAGTATCATCAAAGTGTATAATAACAATAGATAATTGTTCGTAATGTCCTAAACTGAATTTCATTTAGCCAAAATTTGTAGAATAAACTTAAGATAATAATAATAAATTATGCCCGAATTCACATGAATTTTGTATCTTATTAAAAAGTACCTAGTAAGTTATTATATAATCTGGGCAATAACAATTCAATTTGTTGAAATACTATAATTACATCATTATGAGTATTTTAAACTGAACCAAAAACTTCTGATAAAGCATAAAGGAACCACACAGAACTACGAAAATTTATTTTAATCTTATTATTGATACAAAAAATAAATTTTTTTATAAAAAGATAAATTATATAAAAAAATAATGGGAATTTATAATTGATAAACAAGAAGACTTTGTACGATGTTATTTTATAAAAATTACAATATAATATTCATACATATAAATTAAAATACATAATATAATAATTATTGTAGAACTTTAACTTTTTTATAAATATTTTTAATTAAATACTAAGATTTTTATTTAAAAAGGCTTGCACTCATTTAATTGAAATAATGTAATAATAACAATAAATAATAATCATAGATAATTATTACAAACTTTAAAGCTAATATAACAGTAGATAATCAGACAGACAGATTTTATTTTGAGGAACTAGGTAAAGTATCATCATCGCTATCAGAACTATCTGAGTATGCAAGACCTGGTAATACAACAGACTTTGTTTCCCCTGAAAATAAAAAAATATTAATACATTACTTTTAAAACATTTATAGGTCTTATAAATTATTGATGTAAAATTAGTCAGTGTAATTATAATATCAATAATGATGATTTTTCTACGATAATTACTATACTACATAGCATATCTTAAAGTGACTAAGGGTCAATTAATAGGACTTTAAAATCTGGCGGGCAAGAGTAAGAAAAATCACAAAAATATTATTAAAATTGATAAATAGCATTAATTTTAAATAATAATAACAGAATCAATACAATAAAATAAGTATCCAATACCTACAGTTATGTTATTGTATTTAGACATTTAAAAATTGAGCTGCAACTCAATACTAGATAAGAATACATTATCTACATTTTAGGATCAACAAAATAAAATTAAATACCAATAAGCGCTAAGATTTTATGAAGTAATTTATAGAAGTAGCACAGATAAAAAGGTATGCAGATTACCAGTTAATCATTTATGCTGCATAGTATGTCTAATGAAATTGATGGAAAAAATGTTAAGATCATATAGCCTAAATATTTATTTATTTTCTCAATTTTATAAAGTTTAATATTAAAGTGATGGTATATTATTCAAAGCTAAAAATTTAAGTTTGATAATAATGCATATATTTTTTATCATTCAAATTGATACTGTTGACCCCATTAATTTTTAAATTATTCCATAAATGCTAATTACTTTTAAAATTATAAATTCAGTTTAAATATTTAGAATATTCTTATCGTGTTTTAAGAACAATATTATTGTATAATTATTATGCTGTACAATATTAATATACATTAAATTTTGTAAATAGCGATGATCCAATGCATATACATATTTGAAATTTTTTTCTAGTACTATATCAATCAAATGAATTAATTACAAAGAATAAAATAATTTATTTCAAAATCTAAAATTTAGCGTAATAATACCTAACTATGACCATTGGCCACTGTACCAAATGGTGAATTTGTGGATAGTAAATAAATTTAAACATTAATCTAACTCATAAAAACTATTGAGACCTTATAAATCTACTCTAATAAGATTTTGTATTTTATCAAATCGTTAAAACCTGTTTTCTCATCTGATGGCTTTTTAGCATGATTTACAGTCAGTTTTGGTTTTTTTGATGGATTTAAACTTTCGTCAGATGTTCTTTTCATTACGATTGCACCTGCTAGTAGTTTACTTTGAGTTTTTCTTGCTCTAAAAATACAGACAAACATATATTATAATACTGTTGATCGGTTATACTTTTACATTTACTAATTTATGATAATGACTCACACATTAGTTTTTAATACAGACGGTTTAGGAAGAATTGCAGTCACTAATGGAGATACAGTAGAATCACATTGTAGGGTTGATACTTTGGAACGAAATTCTTCAATCTGTTTAGTCTCTTCCATAAGTTGTCGTCTTTCTTCAGCCATCTTCGTCCTATCAACCAGTTCGAGAAAACCAACTTCATCATCGTCCAGACCTCTTATCATGTTTTCTATAGACAGGCAATATTCACACAACATAGGTATACAATTGAACAGAAAAAAACTAAGTACCATTCTATTATGCGTTCAAATTTGTTATTTAAAAATTATTTTCAATAAATATTATAAAAATGATATAAAGCAATAATAAATTTCTATATGATAAATAATAACACTCCCTTGTGCAATAACTTAGCCCCATGTGTAAACAAGACGCAACAAATATTATCATAATAATTTATTACCGATTCACTCAGCTGAGTGTTTAATAAAACCGTGCGAATAATATGCAAAATAATTACTGAGTTTATGAGTTTCTTCATATTCGTACTCCTTCTTCCGGCGTTGCTCTTCCAATCGGTCAAACAGCGATCGGTGATCGTACTGCTCTTCAGGCACCTCTGTACAAAGCGGACGAAAACCAATGTTATAAAACGGAATTACAACAAACGACTGGTGTAATGTTATTACGAAATAAGGATATGCGTACCCACAGGCTGTTCGGCGGTTCTGACTTTGTCCCATTCTTCCTGTCGAATCCTGCGCCGCTCGGCCAACTCGGTTTCCGAGACAAACCCAGAACTCATGTCCGTGTTCGTACGTCTAATATCACGATGGACTTGTACGGCGAACAACACTACGGTTGATCACATTTTCGCACGCCAACAAACGACTGTAACAACACAAACGTTTCGGTTAATTAATGGACGTAAATATCCGACGACGAGTGTTTACATTTCGCACTCTGATAAGCAACGCTGTTATCACAGAACGGACGGGCACGTCCAAGGAGAATGGTGTTCGTAGTCAGCCGCCGACGTTCCAATGGCGTCGGAACGGGAAAAAAAAATGAAAAATGTATACGCTTAACTCGTATAATTTATTATAATATATGAAATATACTGTTTTATTGAACTTTTATGTTGCTTTTAACATTTCTCATAAATGTTATTGTAATATATAACATTTTTTTGATTTGTTTAATTTAAAAAATGTGTAACCCTCAATTGATTTTCTTTCATCTTTATCAGTTAAATTTGCCATCAGTATAATTGTATACATTAAAAAGATTCTATTTTTGGCATCAGTATTTTTATTAGGTGTATATATTTCGGCAACATTTTTCCCTCCGTAGATTATAATTTCTCGATTCAAAATTGTTTTATTAGTTTTTTTCATTATAATGTCATCATGATCTATTTTAACATAAGACCTTCAGGTGTATGTAAATGTGTAGAATAAGATCTGAAAACTTTCAGCTTTCTAGATTTTTCACGTTTTAGTGACATTCTCCAATTTTTTTTATTACTTTTAAAATACGTAAATTCGTCATCACCTTTCTCAAACATGATTGGTCTTCTCCAAATTTTTTTTTCCAAAAATAGTAAAATACATGTATAGTGTAATAGTGTATCGTTTACAAATAATTAACTTTGAATAATTTTTCCTTTTTTTTATTTGCATCTGATTAATCTTTAAAAATCTTTAATATAGGAATAATGTGATTTTCCACTTTTATAAAAAAAAAGAAAAAAAAATAGATCAAAATGATTCACACTTTCAACCTTATTTATTTATATTTAATGGGAAAATAATATTTTTATCATTTAAAATATAAAATGGTCGACTCCAGTCTCAATCTTATTTTTTTATATTCAGTTGTGATTTTATTGACTTTGTGTATATATAAGGATGAATTTTTATTTCGAAACCTGTTGTACTTTACAAATATAATAATACCCAGACTAAGATTTTATTTATTTATTTCTATACATAAACTATTTGTTTATTTATTTCAAGGCTTGAAACTGGTATTTGATACTGTTTTTGAATACCGTTTAAAATCGTTAAAAAACGAAAAAAATCAATAACGGTATTCAAAACCGAAAACGAAATCGGAAAAAATAAATATCGATACTTGAAACCAAAAATTTGAAACGGAAAAAATAAATAACGATATTCAAATCCGAAAACAATTTAAAATTAATATATCACATTTAAACTTAAATAGCTACGCTGTTACAAATACGGTCAACTGAGTAGTGTTGGGTCGTCCGACAGAAATAAGGTATAAATATAGGAGTCATGAGATGCGGATAATTAGATTTCAAATTCAGTCTAGACTATAATATGTACTTTGTAAACAGTATTATATTATATACTCATTATAAGTAATCACTAATAACTATTAAAAACTAATAACTTATAAGACATAATATAAATGTAAAATGTTATAACGTATACCTAATTAAATTGTATATATAACTATAATTGTATAGGTATAACACTGATATAAGTACTTTGATAATTTATTTTATAGATAAACAGGATGATAAAATAAGTTAAGCTGTATGTTATGGTAACAGGTGTATAATTTATAAATGTCTAATAATATTATTCGGGAATTAAAAATAAATTTAATTGATTTTTAATTTTTCACGAATATTGTATGTTTTGTCATAAATTCTACATCAATAAAACTTTTACTAAAAATTAATCAAAAATGAACCCGAAATCGAAAAAAAATAAAACTAAAATCTAAAACCGAAACCAAAATTAAAAAAAAAATACCGATGTTCAAAACAGAAATCGAAAACGGAAAAAATAAATACCGATATTGAAAACCGAAAACTAAATCGGAGTATATAATTACCGTTATCTAAAACCAAAATTTAAATCAGAAAATAAAAATACCGTTATCCAAAACCAAAATCGAAACCGGAAAAAAAATTTTCTATTTCAAGCCCTGATTTATTTACGTGTTATATTATTTATAGAATATTTTAAATTTTTTTACATGCTTGAGTAATCACACAGAATCAATAGGTATGAATTGATTTTTCGTACAATTGATATAATAATAAATAAGACTCATATGCGAATATTTTTTTCTAATTTAACTAATCTAAATAATCTTTATTTAACAACTTGATAAACCAATGATTTTTGTCTATAGTTATCGATCGAAATGCTTGTTTCATTCAATGATCAACCGAAATCGAAATAAGATATATTACATAGAAAATTTAACGGACCACTAAATAAAATGCCATCGATTCCACTAAATTAGTTGTAAAAGTCATAAGTAAAATATTACAATATTAGGTATGAACACAGGCGTCAAAAGAGCTTTCATCCCATGAATATAATATCTAGTATATTGAAGTTAATTAGACATAACTTGGAAAGGATAAACGCCACACCATAGATAATCGTCAAATATTAGACGCAATAATTTGAAAATAAACGGTTGTTGCATATATTTTCATTGACAACTAGAACAAATTAGCTAAGTCCATGTGGATGACGAGGAAAGTGAAAAATCTGAAGATTGTAAATTCGAGTGGTGATTGTTTTAGGTGGCTTTGAGTTATACAAGATATAAATAAATATAAAATATCCAACATTATATGCAACAATTGTTGTACTCAAGTGTATTAATTTGAAAGTTAAATTAGTAAAAATTAAGCTGAAAGCAAACAGTGATGCTAGTATTGGAAATAATTTAGTATTGACTAAACTAATTTGATCATATTAAATGTTAAATTTCATCTAATTTCTTAATTTTATTTTGTTTTCGTTTTTTTTTCTTGTATGAATATCGAATAATACATTTCGGTACTAATGTTAATCTTTACAAAGTCTGAATAAAAATAAAAGAATTAATTATTCATAGAACTGGCGATGTTTCAAATATTGATACTGGTATCCGGTATTTGATTACTACCAATATATAAGATATTTTCAGCATTTACAAAAAATACCGAGTCTCCGTGATTACCGAAAATATTATACTTCGGTCGTTACTGAACCTCAGATCTTGTGACTTATGATTGAAAAGGTAATATGAAGGCACTTAAAAATTGTTCTCTATGCTACTTCCCGTTACACTAAAACTGTTTTTTTTTTCATTTTAAGTATATTTGCGACATTATAATTTAATGTCCTCGATCAACTCGAATAGATATACGAGTAGGAAAAAAAAGATTTATTCAACAAATATTCTAATGTAAATATATATTTTTACTTTTTGATTTTCACAAAAAAAAAAATAATAATAATTTTTATACTTATAATATACGTATACCAGCTGTATAGATAATAATATTATTTAATAATGCGATAATATGTTCTAAAATTTTACGGGAACAATAGTTATAGTATGTAATATACATGTATACTAATGATAGGGTGTATCTATCGCAGTGTCGGATGGAATTGTTTATGTTAAAATTATGATTAATTAATTATTAAGTAATTAATAATGTAAAATAAAGTCTCCACAATAATCGTACAAAAATTACCGAGTAAAAAATTTACAATTCGTAATGTCAATGTATAAAATGTTGTTTTTTATAAGTCATATCATAAAATTATCTAGTAGGCCTATTCCAAACATTTCATGTATATAAACTGTATAAACATATAATAAAACACCTGTTTATATATATATATATGAGTAAATATAAAATTAATATTTATATTGAGTAGAAAATTTTGTCGAGTTATGTAATCAAAATGATTAATAATCAGTCACTTTTTTGTAAACATATTTATGTAGAGTAATGTCATGCTTTGGTCATCTCGGTGTTCCGAGATTTTGTTCTGCCCTGCAGCATGTCCTGGATTTCTTGCAGACTCTTGCCCTCGGTGTCGGGCAACACGAAAGCCGTGAACAGCAGAGCGAATATACAGCACACGGCAAATATCCAAAAAGCGAAGTGTATGCCGATGACGTCGCACACGTTGATGAACGTTTTCGACAGCACGAAGCCCAGAATCCAACAAAAGCTTGTCGTCATACTCGACGCTACAGATTTGAGATTAGGCGGGAATATCTCTCCCATGATAGCCCACGGTAATGGGCCGAAACCTGCAGAAAACGATTACATTTCAATTCGTGTGCTGTGCGGTATAATGTTTACATACATTTTTTTCATAATACATAAAAAAATACTGTTCGATAATATTATAAGATATTGTCAAATAAATCATGCGAAAACACGTGTTTAACACATTGACTTTATTCTTATGTTTAAAAACACATTTAAACAAACATTTAATAAAAATCGTATCATCGGTTCGCGTGCTCAAAATTTATCGTGAGAAGAAGTGAAAAAGAATGTACAGTTCATTCAGAAAAAAATTACATATATTGCATTGATTAGCAATAATATCATTCTCGTGATTTTACGCTAATCAATTCGTGTGTTTGTGTACAGTTGCGTGTGTGATACATTAACGTTTAAGTTTCATTACAAAATGCGTTTTTTTCGTAAGATAAATTTATAATATTGTATAAAATCGACGGTCGCCGTACTTGTTTCGTAATCAGTCATTACACCTTTTACGCAGCTTGACGACGGCTAGACGAAATACGTCGATATTATACATTAATGGATTATTTAATAAAATAATTTACATATAAAATAAGTATAGCGTACCAAGACAATATGTGATAATGAAAACCACTAAGCTAGAGAGCGGCATCCATCCAATCGAACTAACATCAGATCCCGTATTTTTTAAGTAGAAAAATAGACCAAGCGTTCCCTGTTACGAAAAACAACAATTCAAATGATTAAAACAACAACATAAATTATTTTCGGTTTATAAAAATTTTATATAAAGCAATTATTATCAGTCAACACATTTACAGTTAAAACATTTAAATTAAAAAAAAAAAAACTTAAATCTATTAAAAGTCGACTAAATTACACATGTTAAAACGACGATTTGAAAACTAGCAGTTGATGCTCTTGGATTGTATTGACGAGTTCAAAGTTGTATAAAACAATTCTATAATGGTATGCGATTTACGGAATCATAATGCATACATGGTATGTAGGTTTTACCACAAAAACAAATCGAAATTATTTAAAATCGTGCTATGTATAGGTATAAGTATTTATGTACCTACTGATTGTACTACCAGCAGACGCAGCTTCAGAGACTTACTAGGGGGGAGGCAAAGGCGCAACTATGGAGGGGAAGCTAGGGCCTTAGCCACCCCCCCCCATAAATATTCTATGTTATACATGGCATATTGCATACAGTATACTTAACTCACAATAGTGTCACATACAAAAGAAAACGTATTGCAGTAAATCAAACTTGGCTCAGAATCTAAAATATATTAACATGGTATATAAGAATAGGAATAAATTACAGGTTATTTTAAGTTTTGGTAGGAGGGCTGTAGCCCCCCATTTTTTTTACCCTAGTTGCGCCTGTGGGGAAGGGCATTTCAAGTACTAGCTGATAATAGTTGTTTTCCCAAACTAGAACTGAAACAAAGTCCGACTACGTTCCTATATTATGATACACACCTCGTATTAATGTCATAATATGATTTTTTAGGTAAAATAAAATTGTTAGGTAGGTATCTAATTAAATAATCGAAATTTTACAGTTCACAAGAACAAAAATGTATTAAAAAATTAAAATTTTTAAAAGGTCCCCCCAGGCCATGGCCCCAGTGGCCTCCCCTTGAAGCCGCGCCTGACTACCAGGAGCAAGTACAAGATAATGTCATGAGTATACCGATTCACATGTGCATACGAGTATTTGCGTTTGTGTATTTACACCTACATCAGTAATCGCCATTCCTATTCCGGAGATGTACAACAGTGTCTTCATGGTGGTGAACTTGGCCAAACACGGCGTCAAGGCGGACGCGCCCAACATCACGGATCCGACGATAATAGTGGACATGCTGGACGACAGTTCAACACCAGTTTGGATGAAGATCATTTGGCTGTAGATCAGCAACACGATTATGCCGCAAAGCTGCTGCCACGCTACCATGGCACATGAAATCATTAATGCATTAATGTTGCCCCGGTTGTTGAATAAATCACTGACGCCGGACTTTTGATCCTTGGCTTCGTTCACGGATTTCTAACGGAAAAACAGTACCACCATGTATATTATTTTTTGGAAATGTTTTAACACGCGCGAGTAAATATGTATACGATAGAGAACTAGTGTATCATAAATGCATAGACTTGATTCGAAATCTTTGGGCGATTTCGACACAAAATGTGAAACGCAATTGTGTATAAAAAAAAAATAAAATAACATAATGTACACAGTCGTGGTAAAAGCTGTGTACGGAAAAATCCGTAGCATATTTTTAAACGCCGAGTAAGATAAATGGTCACAGTGTCACAACATAATTGGGGGGGGGGGTGTTCTGGATCAACATTATCTCTTACGTATACCAGGGTTCGATTGTATACCTTGATATCTTCGAGCTCCTTCAACAGAACCGTCTCTTCCGGGTTGCCACGCAACCATCTGAGCGATTTCAAGGCTTTCTCCTCCCCTCCGGATCGCGCTAAAAGCGAATGCGGCGAATCGGGCATCCATACGAACATGCCAAAACAAAGGATCGGCATCGCCAATGACACGATCACCAATGTCAGGTACGTCGTGTACGGTCCGACAGCGTATTCGACCAAAAATCCAGCGACTAAGAAGAACTGCATCAGTGTGCCCAGCGATGACCTCAGATGCAACTAAACACAAAACAAATGTTATAGAACGACGGTAAGTGTTTGAAACGATCTGATCAAATGTTATACTCTCAAATGTAACTGTTATTGATACAATCGCCGACGATTACATTGTTTATGTACAATTTACGAGTACATATTACATTTGTTTAAAAACGACCACACGGATAGAACCATTATGGGCAAAGAAATATGTTTTTTTTTTTTTTTTTAAGAAAAAAAAAACTAAGTAAACCATTGCTAACCATTGTTATAGAAGTAACATAACCGTTTTCGAGAGGTTGCAACTCTGAGCGGGAGACCCAGAGAGCCAAAAAGGATACGAAATAATTACAAACCGTTCGATAACGGTTGAAAAACTTACCGTATCACGTGCACCTACTTCGGTCGCGCGCACGGATACATCGTGACAATCGGGTAAAATAAAATTTACCTGACTTATTTGTCACCTATGGTTCAACGACCGTACAACGCTGTTTATTGTCGTGCGCACGACCCGGATACCGCGTGATTATTACCCGTGCGGTCCCGCCGTAAACTCTTATAAAATATGTCGTCGGCCGCTGTATAACGTCGTACCTCAGATATCTCGGCGATGTACATCGGCACGGCGGTGAATATGACGCCGACGGTGAGCCCGGCCAGAACTCGGGCGCAGTAGAGCGCAGGGATGCCGGGCACGAACCCTATAAGGATCCACGAGACGGCCAACATTATCATGCTGATAAGTATGGTGTTCTTCCGGCCAATCCTGTCTAACAGCACGCCGGCCAGTACGGGCCCGATGGCGGCGCCTAGCGTGACCAGCGAACCGACCCAGCTGGCCTCCTCCAGGGTGATCTTCTCCATGCCCGTGCTCGGGTCGCCTTTCTGCAGCTTGACCAGGGTCGGCGAGGACCACGTCATGGCGCAGCCGGCGGCGAGCGCGCCCATGTTCACTGCGGAGCAAAGGGACACGGATTAGTCCGGGACGTTACGTTTCGCGCGCGTCGCGATCGGCAGCACGATGCGAGGAGAGGTGGAACTAGAGATTTTTACGCCGGGGGATAATGTTAAAATTACGCTCTATCATAGACTTATAATCGAATACTCTTTTCTTTTTTTTTTTTTTGTATTGCAGTACTTAAAGATACAACCATATAGATATTCAATTTAAAACGTATGAATATACGACTGGAAAATCACTTATTAGTAAAGCATACAACCCGATAATCGACGTTAGGATAACCTAGGGTGAGCCGAATGATTTTTTTAAAAGGGACCCCCTATCGTTTATACCGTTTTTACAAGTCTACGGGGGGTAGCGTTACCTTCCACGCGGAGCCTACATAAAATGCATTCCTCGCTTCAATCAGAACCGAAATAATACACACTAAAGATAGTCTACGAGACAATAGACATTTTTAGGTGCGCCCTCGATCAACAACTATAGCTATTGAACGTATAATGTACATCGATTAGATTTTTCTTTAAGTACAAGTCAATATTTTTGTAAAAAATATCAAGCACAATAAACATGTCCAACTATGTCATATACGAGACCTTAATCAATAGTTTTGAACTTCGTCAGGACCACACTGAAAATATTTCGAAGAAGTTTTAATTTTTTTGATTTTAATTAACACTTAATAAATTATCCTTGTGTACAGAAAAAATGAATACTTAAAAAGGGCCAGTGACAAAGAGCAAACACAAAAATAGGGCATTGTTATACTGTTGAAGTGTTCGAACAGTGTTATTGCACTATGTGCAACTTAAAGGGAAATCTAAAAGGTATCTAAAAGGTAATATCTTAAAGGTTAATACGATCATTATTATTTGTGAATCGTTACGTGTCTTGCAAGCAACTCGGAATCGTTTTGACAAGTATTTTATGTACATTAAATTTAGACCGTAGTGGTTTTTATTTCGAGGGAATGTGTTGCGATCAAATGTTAATTTGTACATAATGTTTACCACTTGTATCATTCCACCTTTTCAATTCTACTACAGTAGACGTGAATTGACTCCAACACTGGAACTGTAAACAAACCATTTTACTAAAATATATGCTTCAGTTCAGTAGACGAAATACTATGATAAATTTTTCTTTCACATATTATTTATGTCTGACATACCCTTTTTTTTACCCTAATTTCAATAATTTTCTAGAATTAATTAATTTTTAAATAAGTAACTTTTTTATGGAAAATACTAAAATATTTTTGGATTGACTCGTTATCATAAACATCTTGATAAGCAATAAGTTAGGAGTAAATTAGGAAGTTTATTAATTAGTGAAAAAACCGATTTAATGTCAATAAAAAAATGAAAAACATGAAAAAAGTAATCATTTTTGTATTCGAAGTTATTTAATATATTTTAAGTAGTTCATTATTTTTTTAATTAATAATAATATTAAAATAATAAAAATATCTTAACTTTAAAGTTTAAAGTTTGTAGTAGGATACGGTTTTTGTTATTGTTAAATTATTGTTATTCACTGAAATTGTTGAACTATCGTTTTGGCTAAGAATTAAGGTATAGGTTTTTTTTGAAAAAAAAACGTATGCTAATTCTACACTTGACCGGCCCATAAAAATTATCAGTGACATTCTTCTCAGTTTTAAAAGCAGTTCTTACCTAATCTTCGTTAATATTAGTTAATGACTAAATTATGTCGACTTCTATGTTTTTCTAGCCAAATGTGATACAGTTAATTACAAATGTGGTAACTGCGAAATAAATCCATTTATCAACCATAGAAATTATCTGTTTTCTCTACGTTTTACTGTCTAGTCTGGCATTGAGGATATTATATTATTTAGTTACTTAGCAGCTATGTAGAACAAAATGTTTTTGGCCTATCGTCACGTATTTCGGGTATTAGCTGTAACTCTGTAGGATGTTTATGGCGCTGATGTAATCATATTTCAATAAATTAACAAATAGGGTGCTTTTTCACTCAATCGACTTTTTCAGAATACTATATTTAAAAGATATGTATCTGGGTAAATAGTTTATTCATTCAAATCAGCCAAAGAGTTGTTCATTTGACTTTTCTTAACTTTATACTTCTGGTTTTTTAATAGAAAACAATATCGATTGTGTTATATGTAATGTAAACAAATCTACATTACCTCATAACATTATTAAATGTGTGTTGTTCAAATGGAAGAAGAAATATTTTTTCTCCGACTTCCGATTATTATTGTCATTGGATAATAAAACAATAAAGGCATACGTAATATAATATGACGGTTAAGTCCTTTTATTGCTTTTTTATAACATGAGTAACTTTAATTTTGTTTCGAATTAATTTAATAGCCTCACTTAAACATGCTGTGTTATCTATGTATAAAATATAGTAGACAATTGTATTATATTTATTTCATATTTATACCGAAAGAAAAGGCAAAAGTTTGAATTTGAATTCCTCAGCATGGATAAAAGTTATAATAATATCAACTTATTTACATATATCATCAGCCTAAATCGCTAATGTCTTGAATCCAAAATGATAAATTTTATAGAAGAAGAACAAAACACTTTTATATTTTTATTTTTTTTAAATTTTTTTTAACACTTTTTGAGCTATTTATCCGCCAAAAATACTTCTTTTCATTACTCTCTATTATATGTCTGCTCCTAATCTACAGCAATTTCTTTTAATAACTACTGGACACTGTCGTTCCACCGTTTCCGTGGCCTTACTCTCGGTCTTTTTCTTTTCGTTATAAATGTCAGTACTCCTATTAGCATACTTCTATCGGCCAGAATATATATATTATTATAATTACAATTAGGCTTAATTCGTGACTGCCGTAATTCTAATATGGTAAAATATATGAAAATTTGAAGATATGACGATTTGTATTTATTTATTTCATGAATGATAAAAATAAACATTCGGAGATTCGATTATATCATACAACGTAGTTCATTTTTTAATTTTTATGAGTAAATAATCCCAAAATTAAAATTAATGGAAGTACGACTTTTGCGATTTAGCTTAACAATATATATATAGTAAAATACATAGCAATAATTATAAAATTAAAAGTTAAAAAAATATAAAATAATCTATATTTTTAAAGGTCGTGGGTGGTTAACTTTACCTAACACTAAAATTCAAAAGTTTGAAAAATATGACATCAAAGAGGTATATTTTTAAAATGTTAATCGTTATGTATACGTATACATGAATAATTAAGCGTATTATTGAACAATTCATAAAATTTAAAACAGATGCAGTTATCCCGATTCCTGTTTAATATAAAATATTTCTAAGATAGGTAAATAAAATATACAATGGCAATGTAAAATTTTATTACTGAAGTAAATTTATTACTGTAATAGTAAAACTATTTATTTTATGATGTTCTTAATTGAAATAGGTTTACTTATCATTTTTACAGTAACAATAAAATATTTTAAACAATATAGATATTTACCTACTTATATGTATTAATAATCAAAATATATAACACAACATATCGAGTATTAAAAAATAACTTAGAATTATTATAATCAATGTGTTGTTACTAATTTACACAAAATAAAAATATTGGTTAATTTCAATGAAATCCACCAAAGCCATATCTACATAGTATATAAGTTATTTTAACTATCTGTTTTTGCATAATTAAAACATTTTAGTTTATTTGATAGCTTAAAAAAAATGTTCTGTTATGTATTTATAATCTGAACATAAAAAAGAATTCTCGGTAAAAATGGTTGATTACACTTTCTTTTATTATAAAAAACAATAATTATAGTATAATCATACATATTAAGCTGGTGTGTCGAATGAGTTTCCCCTATAATTACATAAAAATGTCAGCATTTAAATTAAGGAAACTTAAACTTGTCATTCTATTGACTTATTCTGTTAAATATACATTCATTGTTGAATGAAAAAACAACTGAGAAAGAAAAATGTGGAATTTTTACTACTCTCCAAATTCATTCTGGTGTCAAGTAATCCCAATTGATAAAAAAAAAAGATAAATTATTTTTTGTTTGGTGTTATTATTACTAAGCATTATACGCAATTGATAAAAATCATTTTGTTTTCGAACATAATCTTAACACAATGGAGTTATAGAATCTAAACCATAATGCCATTCGTATTGTTGGTGTATTTGATTCAATAACACTTTAATACTCGAACAAATCATCGAAGATTAACGATCCTAGTAAATTTTCATCAATAACAATTCGAAAATCAATAAAATGATTGTATAAACCACATAATATAAACCTTAATCAAGCGTTTATTGCTAATAAATTGTTTTCTTTTACGAATTGTTTTAGTATATCTCTATACCTATTTACTTTATCTAGGAAATTATGTATAGAAAAATAAGATCATGAGTATGATTTATGTATGAATTAGTGCAATTAGTTTCATTTTACAATCAACTTCTTCATAATTGTTTTTTTATTTTGTAAAATAAATTGAACAAAACAATAGTGTACTTTTATGACAATTAACTCTTCTGCAAAGATAATAAAATATACGTATTTTATAAGTAATTTTTCGAAATTAGCTACATATTAGTAATGTACTTAGAGTCATGTGCCCAATGATGAAATATTTTATCAATAGATGTTTAATATTGCCCAATATATTAAAAAAAAAAAAAAAAAAATTAAAAAAATAATAAATCTTTATAACATATATTATTCTGATCACATAATATGATAACCATATATTACTTATAATATACTTATACATTTTTTACGTAAGTTCTATTTCTTTCAAAACATTGAAAAAAATCATCTGAATTTGTTTTAAATTAAATAAACCGGCATAACAGCAATAATAATAATGATCATATTTCGTATGTAATTATATCATTCTAAAATATTGATATGCGAATAAAAATATGCGATCCATTTGCGCAGACATTTAAAAGCATACGTGGTAATTAATTAATTTCAAATTCTTACGTGAATGAATTATATTTCTATTGCAATATAACAGCTGTAAATTCAAGTTAAGTCAAAACTAAAAAAAAATATTTTAACGAATTATCTAGTTTTGGAATGTCCCAGTCGAAGAATTCGATGGAGCCGGTTGGAGGTTTAAGGAACGCTCATAACGGATTTACGTTTTTATATATAAGCTTATTGTTTGACTGCATATATCGAATGATGAACTACAGCTGCGTTTGGAATTTTTTTATAGTTACCAAGTGGATATAGCATATTAGTTTATAAAATGTAGTGGGGAACGTGAAGATTACTATTATTATAGGAAAATACAGCACCGTAAGTAATCTTCTATATAAATATGTTTTCATTTTATAAAATGCATTCTGTTGGTTGAATTTCTTGTTTCGTTAAAAAAAAAAAAAACTGGTAAAGACATTAATAACGGAGGTAAAAACAAGTTAACCATGCCTACCATCTAACTTATAGGCTACGATTCACGACACAACATTTAACAGCTACGCTATGCATGCATATGTTAAGTTGAGAGTTTTTAATGCATTCAAATATTAGAATGTTTTTTTTTTCAATTCACAATTCACCAATGGATAAAACTCTGGGTACAACTAAATCTTTCATAACACTACGCACATTCACGCACATGTTTAAATGGTGCACGCGAGTTAAAAAAATATAATATAAACGCATCATATGAATTGAAGATTAAATTAACTGAATATTTGTTTTTACCATGTATGTATGCATATGTAAGACCGATTAGTAAAATGATAGTTTTTGAAACATGTTGTTTGTAATTATTAACCCATCTGAAAACTAATACACTTGCAACGTTCAACTTTGAGCGATTAATTACTTTTGGTTAAATTTCTACACGTTTTCCATCATAAAGAAAACAACACTTTTCAATTGATACATACGCATAATTATAATATAATAAAATACATTATTTATATATATGTTATACATCACTATAATACTCACATAATATTCCTTTTGCTATCGTATTTAATTTGATTTATATATTACGATTACATTTATTTTTATTTTTTAATTTATAATTTTTCTTTTCACCGATGATACCAAATCTGTGTATAAATATATTTTTTCTTGTACACTTTTTTAACGAATGCCACAATTAAATTATTATATTCATTTTATTTTTACCGTAAAATAAATCAAAACAACTATTATTTTATTTAATAGAACAGGGAGAAAGTTTTTAGTTGAAATCAAGAAACCAATTGGTTTTCATGAAAAAAATAATAATTGAAAATAAGTGTTCTTAAGCGAAAATGTTTTCTTTATCTGGACTTAAAATTTATAGTTATAGGAATTATAAACAATTTTAAGACAACTAGAATGTTGGGATTTACCAGACCGATGAAATCTGTAGGATTCAAAATATACTCACTGATGTTCATAAATATAATATCAAGAACTGTTTAAATTTCTTCCAAAAGTTAATTAAACGATAAAAATTTTATTAGTATTTTAGACATCGGAAGCGCAATTATTTTATAATATCTATACGTATACATAAAATTTATGAACATGGAAAAACCGTGCAAGCCGAAAACGACATAGTGCACGTATTTCGATACGAATTTGATGACTTAGTACACGTACAAGCATCGAAACCAAAACGACATACGTACTAGCTGACATAAGGCAACTCTAACTACATTGAATTTAAGTATTATCGCAGGAATGCCGTTTAACCTAACCCACCCCTTCACTACTGGTTTTCGTCCCCACGGTCGTTTCAATGGGCGATTGAAAATTCCACCCGAAATGAATAGGTAAAAACAAGGTCTATGGTAAATTCCGCCCGGGAAAAATATGTAGGTACAAAATTAAATTTGTAAATTCCGCCCAGAAAAATAAATATTTTTAAACTAAATGTTCTGTGACTGTAATGTTCGAACGAACACATAACAATCGTATCTCAGACGACAATCGTTAACATGTCATATTTTATCAGTTTTGCCACGTATTGTGGATATAATAATTAGAAATATCAGATAGAAATATTATAAATCGTGTTCCAATAAGTGGAAGTGATATTTTGACCCGTATTTATTGTTATAATTATTATTGTTATTGCGATTTTTAACAATTTTATATGATATACATCATACATGACTCATAATATGTGCTAATTATTGACGTAATATGTGAAATATATATTTATATTAATCCATGTTATGTCTGTAGTAATATGATTAATAAGACACATTCAGAAATTTGTTTATTAACAGTAAGTAATACATTTATTCTTTATAAACCAATTGGTTATTATACCTATACGGTTTTGATTGAAAAATACAAATAAAAGTAACTTTTAAACTTCATTAAGTAACAATAACTTCTTACTTATAACTTATAAGTTATACGTAGGAAGTGTTTATTAAGTATAAATATTTTTCGGGCGGAATTTACATGTATGTTTCCTTGCCTGTAACTTAGCATTTTCGGACGGAATTCACACGCGCCCGTTTCAATCGATCCATGTCGATATCTTAACATTGCGCGCGGGTGATCGACGAAAGCCGTTAACAGTTCAAAACGGTATCGTTTAAAAAGTTCTCGAGTCCTACACGGGATTCGTCCGACCGAAAGGAAAAAAAAAAACAATCAAAGTTCCATAGAACAATTTTTACGTGAAACGCCGTTAGGGCACCGCGACGAACGAGATCAACGCTTCCGACACGGGCGAAATAACCGCGTTCGAACACGTCGCGAATTACACGCGTGAAAATGTAAAAACGTAACCGCACCGATGGCAATAAATCGTTGTATAACACGTACGGCGTACGGACGGAACGATAACGGGTCGTCGGGGATCCGCGTGCGAACAGGACGAAGGGTCGGCGGTACGGGATCTGAGGTGGATACGCGCGCGGTCGGTAAAACGTAGGGACCGTCGGGAAATCGGCCGTCGAACGATTGGCGGTGACGTGGGTACCGCGTCGAGCACCGCGTAACGCAAGACTCGGAGGAAAAAGAAAAAAAAAAATAATAGTACCGACCTGTGAACGCGGCCAAGTAAAGGTTGATCGAGCTGCGCGTACTCTCTGTGTTCGTCTTCATCGCGGCCGCGTCGTCGTCTTTCCGCTGCCGCTGGTCGTGCTGATGTGCCGCGCGCCGTTTGTCCCCGTTGTTCAGTGGCGCGCGAGTGTCGCCGTCGTCCGCCGCCGTCGGACCGTCGGCTCCCCGTCTGCCCGGGTCGGGCGAGGCCCCTTCCTCCATCAGCGTCTCCAACTCCATGGGACCGGCGAACTGCGGCCGCGTGTAACCGGACAACTTCCTGCGGGGGGGACCGCCACCGCCGCTCGCGCCGCTCAGGTTCAACCGGTGTTGCGGGGGCTGCTGCTTAGGCGGCTTCCTATGTACAGGCGTGCCGAGATTAGTTATTGTTGTTCGGATACGTTACGGTTACGCGTCGGGACTCGGTTTTCGATTCCCCGTTCCCCCCCCCCCCCCCTCCCCAATACCGACCGAAAGGACGACGGGAATTTCTATTGAAATATCGTAAGGAATCTGATTCGTATTCACGTATACGTCACATACACTCACATGTGGTTAAGTATGTAACAGCTATACCGCATCACGTACAAATATATTTATTTATTTTACTCCTCTGTTTCTCAAAAATATTCGTTTTCAATTATTATAAGAATTCAAATATCGTTCGAACAAAAGAAAAAAAAAAAAAATCATTTTTGTTCTATGCAAAGACACGCAACGAAAAATAGTGTACATGCGATTTAATCTTACAACCATATGCATAATGTTACCGTGCGCCGATTGGATTAATCGAACGGAAATAGAGCGAAAATTGCATCATAACTTACCAAAGGTTATCACTAAAAAGAAGTGTATTTTGCACGGGTTAAGAGTATAATCGTATACGATCAAATTAAAACTTTTTCGCCATTTTCATATCCACAGAAAAAAAAATTAAACTTCTATTGCAGTTCGCATTTTTATATTATTTTTGATCCAAAAAAAATTGTATAAAGTAGAAAGATAATCGTTGAAATTTATGTTGTAATTGAAGTATGATGAATATTTTGTTCTTGGATTAATTTTAAAAGAATAATCTAAGCACGTGTTTTTTTTTTTCAAACGTTGTTCGGTTCGATCGACAAGTTAGTGGCTAGAAACTCGTATGCCATATTTTGAATCAAACGACAAATTTCTCTCTCATTCCAAAAATCAAAAAAACAACTTGTCCAAACAGAAACTCAGTTGGTGTTTAATGAATAGAATTTCGTTCAGAATAATCATTCTGCAAGAGTGTCAGAGTTTCGTTCAGTTTTCAAATTTAATCTACGTTGACAAAGCGAAACCATAGTGTTCAGAATTTGGTTACAGGACTCATTATTTTTCAAATACTCAGCAATAATTGTTTGATAACTTCTAACTTCATTGTTGGTATATTTTTTCCTCGTGTTCACACGAATACATATACTGCACTACTATTGTTTTTAACGCAATGATGCAAAATAAATGCGATGAAATTATATACTGTAATCGTATAAGTCACGTAAATTTTAATGCTTGTTTGATAAAATAATAAATAAACAATAATATTGCTATTATTATTATTATTGTTATTATAATTATTATTATTATTATTATTATTATTATTATTATTATTATTATTATATCTAAAAGTCAGTCAATGTAATTTTAAAAAATATATACTGCTTTAAATGTCAAAATTATTATACGAAATAGCAAACGTTAGAAAAGATCAAATTTTTATTTATTTTTTATAGAGTTTCTATAATAAGCTTATTATAGAAACTCTTTAACTCAACGATTACAGAAAGTGAATGGTGTACAACTCGTATATTTTCTACGAGATCAAAATCTATTTTTATTATTTATTGACTGTAACATCGCGACGGACATGTGGGCATGGCAGACGGTAGCTCGTCGTAACTAGGATGGAATTAGATCAATAAATAAACAGTTTAACAATTAATGATCATTGTTTTATAACATACAGCAATGATAACCAACATTTAAATTAATCATAAAAAACAAATATAAATGGACATAGTTAATACACCTTAACACAAATGTTAAAATATTATTGCAATGAAAAATCGTAAATAAAAAAATTGCTTAAAACTTAACTTAAATATGATTTAAAATCTTTAATTTACTTATTTTGGCTAATTGAGACGTAGTGGAATACGATTGAGTTTTTTTTAATATCTGATAAATTAGGTAACAACAAGTCTATAATATATAATTTATTTTTTATACAAAATTCAAACTCATTTATCCATTTATTAATTAAGTTATCATTTTTCATTTTTAATATTAACTTGAATCAAATTTTTATTTTTTGTACTGAATTTTATCAAAATGTTTTTAAAAAATGTCCAATTCCCGATTAATTTTTTACAATTTTTGTTACAACTTTTATTACAATTAATTGATGGTACCTTTAGTGCGATATCATTTTGGTAAGAAGAATAATTTTTATTTAATAAATAAAAGCAGTTGGTTTTTATCATTTTAATTTTTATTAGTTTGTACATTATTTTGACAATAGTAGCAATTAAATTTTCTATAACATTTGAATATAAGATATCCAGTAAAATAAATGACTAAACAATTTTCTAGGGTAATCCTGTCTGTTTGAATTTCAACTAAAAGCTTTAATTTATTATCATCAGATGAACTCAAACAAATACTTGATTCGTTATCAAAATATGTTTCTATATTTTCTGTGTTAGATATTTTATCTACATCGATTAATATAAAATCATTTGTATCTTGCGATGGTTCACAGTTAGTTGTTGTTGAAGTACATAAGGAAAAAATATAACTACTTTTAATAGAAGTCCTTATTTTTCTTGAAGTTGGATTTTTCTTATAGCCTTTTTTCTACCAATAACTACTAAATACATTTTCTATCTAATCTATATTAAGTCAATACGTCATTACAAAAAAAAAAATTCATTATATTTTTATTCCTCAATAAATCGTAGAATAGCATCAATTGTAAATCGTAAGTAATCAAGCGTAAATCCTCATCAGCATGGAGGTTGTAAATTTTTTCCTGTTTTGATATTTTTCAACTTAATTAAGATTTTGAAGCATTTACTAAAAATGTTTTGACTATTCTCGTATGCATTAGTGTGGTATTATATGGATTATTATTGTAAAGTGATCTACTATTTAAACAATCAAATAAATTGTTCAGCAATTTTATAAAATCTGTGGTATCAATTGCGGTTTTACCGCAAAGTTGACCAGTTTCTACACATATACGTTTAGCTGATGACATAGAATGGTTTAACAGTTGTACAGACGACTTCACACGCACTTTCTGAAAAGACATTAGGTATATGTGCGTCAGTGATTTTACTAAGACCATTAATTTTTTTATTTAATTTATCTAAATCATAAGAATTTTCAATGTCTTTATATGAAAAAATTTGATAAAAAATTTGATGGTTCTTTTGAAAACAAGCTTCAATGAAATTGTTACGAACACTTTTGAGTAAATGCGGAACATCAAATAAAGAATATATTTTATGGCCGTTTACAAAAAAAAAAAAAAAAAACGGATTTGATGTCCCTTGATCACATGCTATGAGTTTCGGGAATAAGCTAATATCAAATAGTATATTCGAAATGTCAACAATTAAATCTTTTAAAATGTCTTTTTTTACGCTAGAATTAGAAATATAATATTCAACAGGAAATTTTCATTGAGAGTATACACCTCTAGCTAAAAATACTAATACGTAGTTCACACTTTTTTTTATTCTACCGTAATTACCTAAATCTTGAAATCCTTCAATAAAATCATATTGTTTAGAATATTCTAAAAACTGATATTCATTTCTTTAAAACCAATGCTGCATGCCTTCTCTTTATAATTCTTATTCTCAAATTGTTTTTTGAATATTATCAAAAAAATAACTATTGAAACCAGGTAAACATTTTGATTCTCCGATCTAGCGTCTAATGGTTGACGGAGCAGATAAATTAATATTTTGTAGGCGTAAACAATTATATTCAGTTGGGGATTTGTAAAAAAAAAGTAAAAGCTAAATTTCTCTTTGCAGTTGTCCATGTACGACGTGTATTTGTTAGCTGCATAGTTACTAATTCTTTAGAGTTACCGAATGGAAATTGAAATGCATTTATAAGATTTTTTTAAATTATTTTGAACTTTATATTTAGAAGCATAGTTTTTTTGATTTACAAATTTCACTATTTTTATTTTTAATTTTTTTAAATTTTTAACTACAAAATTATATGACATTTATGTATATACAATATATGTAATATATTTTTTTAAGATTTGAAATTTTATTTATTAACTGTTTATTAAAAAAAATTTGTGTAAGTTTTTTTAATATTTTTAAACTTTAAACGTGTGATGAGGAATAATCTAAATTTTTAAGCTATTTGACCCAACGAATAAAAATGTTATTGACACTTAAAATAAAGAAAAAATTTGAAAAAGTCTTTAAATAACTTGAAAATAAGAAAATCGCTACATGAGAAATCGAGTGAATATCCAATGATGTAAAAAATTGAACATACCCTCATATAAATTTAATTTGACTTTCCGGTAGACCTTTTTTTTTTTTGTTAAAAATAGACAAACTTATGAAAAATATTTTGTTAACTTTTCAAATTTTAGATATAAAAAGAAAATTTTTTATGAATTTATAACTCAAAATCATTTGCAAATGTTCGTGATTTTTACGAATTTTATCAAAATTTAGACGTTCATGAAAAATACTGTGGATTAACGCTCAAATTTTCTTTATTTGTCATTAACAACAACTTATGAGGAACCTTGTGTTACACTTTAAAGTTTTTTGACCTAGCAAATATTTTTTTATCGATTATAAGAATGAGTTTAAATTATAAAAAAAAATAGCATTAATATTTATTTTTGTGGTATATGAAATTTAAATACTATTTTATACCACAATCTTCCTACCAACTATCTTATCTAAAAATATCAATTCATTATCCACCCAAAATTTAGACCCCACTGACAATAAAGGGCTTCTGAAATTAGCTCGCACCTGGACCTCAAAATTGTAGTTGCGGCATTTGACCACTTATTTTTATTAAATTTATATTTTTAAATACTTACTCTTATGTTAAAGGGAAAATAATAAAATATGTTACTACTGACAAAAGTTATAATAAAACCTTATCTGATAACCAATATAATTCATGTAAAAATAATTATAAATTTTAGAACACACACGAGCTTTGGCGTGATTTTGGAACTTTTATTACTAATATTTTATTGTATTATAAAATTTATCTTCACCTCTCTCAATATCTTTAGTTATATTTCTATTTTTAAATTTTATGACAGTTAAAAAT